CATTAATAAAAAAAATACATTTAGATTGTATTACATAAATTATAAAAGGAGTAAAAATCATTTTGATAAAACATATTTATTATATAAGATAAGAAAAAAAATAGTTGATGCATTAAATTTGTTTATTGCACCAATTTAGTAGCAGTAATATATTCTTTGTCATTCTCTTAAAAAAAACATGTGTTATAATAAAAAATAACAATAATTAACATAATATGTTATTTGTATTCATAACAAACTATAATTTCATAATTGCGGATCAATACAGAAATAAAAATGTGTGAAGTCACCTCAATCACAAACTTTTAGATGACCTCAATTTTAAGCCTATATGACACAAATGATATCAACTAAAAATAAAGTAAATTTAACAAACTGTGTATTTTGGCTCAAACTATTCAATTAATTAGATCTCATATATAACAAAAGATCCACCAAAATAATTGGATGATAAATATGTATTGTCTTATTCAGTCTTCACGGTCAAAACCATATTGTCACTCTTTCTCTCTCTTATGGTTGAAACTTTTTCACTCTTTCTGTTATCATTTCTTAATTTTTTTTATCTTTCACAGTATTTTTCTGCAGTATTAGTCTATTTTTTACCCGTAAATGAAACTAAATTTCGATCCATATTTAAACACTAAATCATCTAATTTTTATTTTGTATATAAATTGTGAAAGTAAATTTACATCTAAAAGTAAACCATTGATATTTTTTGTTATTAAAGTATATCATTAAATCCATATTAGATTATTAATATCATAATATATTTATACATAAACTAATATTTAACTTCTTAGGTGTAAACCATTGATATTTTTTTGTTATTAAAGCATATCATTTGTAATCCGTATTAGATTATAATAATATCATAATATATTTATACATAAACTAATATATACTGATAAATGTGTTATTTAATTAAGCATTTGTACAAAATATTAGAATGAAAATTCACACGAAGTAATTATTTGTGAAATAAGAATTTAAAATAATTAATTATATTTTGTTGACTTAAATTATTTTCATAGTAATTAACAAAATAATATTAAAATGTACTTGTCAATGGGAATTAGAATGCAAGCTCCCAATGCACAATTATGTATAAATTATTTATCTTTTTAGTAAATAGATATAATTATTATTTGAATGACAAATTATACATAAAAGTTGACATAATTTATTTAACGGTATAATTATTATAGGGAAATGATTTTTCTCAAAACTACTTCAAACACACACAAACACACACACACACATATATACATATCTATATATAAATTAGGACATATGCAATGCACACTTTGAGGCATTGTCAAAAATAATATATTTTTTTTTTATTTTTTCATATTCAAATAATTATGTTGTTTACAAAGGAATAAGATAAA